GCCACAGGGTCCCCGGATAAGCGCACGTAAAACAAGCTTTTTGAATCGACAGATGGAGATCGAATTTGTAGTACTTCGCCAGAGTCTTGAATACGGGTCTCAGATAGACAACAAACATCAATATTAAGACTTTCCAAAGACATAGCCAGCCCTATCTGTTGTCCGACCTGCATAAATGTGCGAACGTTGAAGGCAGCCAGTTTGAATGGCGCACGTGGTTTCAGAAAAACTGCTTCAGTTCTCGTATTCGGTGGTAACATACAATTTTCAACCGGACAGTGACTCGAGAACGATTAGATACAGTCGAATTTCCACCAAAGACGAGCCGCTGTATAAGTATAAAAGAGGGTGAATAATGTGGAAAATAATAATAATAAGATAATAATAACAATATTGACAATAATAGTAGTAATAATAATATTAGTATTAATAATGACAATAATTGTAATGATAATAATCTGAATCAATTGTTTGTTTTTCAAAGCGAGAAAGGTAATTTCCACAGCCATAAAGAGTTTATCAATTTGTGTGTGGGCTGTGATACTGCCCGGGTGCCCAAACCGAAGCAGGTGGTTATCTTAGGGGGCCACACCCCGAGCCTTTGACCCAAAGGTCTAACCCACAAGGCAGTGGAGCATCGTAAGGAGATGCAGTTCCATGGTAGCCGGTGACCAACGATTGGTTCATACGCCATTTGTTCCATCAGGATACTGGAGCCCATGTGCACTATTGATTTGGAATCCGGTTAAAGCGCCGAACATTCGCTTTTCGTCCACTCATTTTCGTAAACAACACCCCCGCCACGAGAAGGCAATGAGTAGGACTTCCCTGGCAGAGGCTGTATACGCGTGGCCGTGTGAGAGTATTTCGAGAGGGAGAGCGGACTCTCCCCACTTTCGGCCGTACCAGGGCATTCAGGGGGGCAAAGTGAGAATGACATGGCTCAAAATCGTTTGCAATGGCGCAGATGCATACACTCTCTGTGTTCTCCCAAATTCTAATCTCCTGATTCCTCATTGTCTCTTTTTTTCTCTTCCCAAATTTATTTCACAGTATTATACTCTATAAATAACATCTCCAAACCCTAATCTTCTCGATTACTGCTTATACTCTTACTACCTCTACCACTACGGGATTTGAATCGACAACTGCATCTCTGTGCTAATGTGGTGTGGCAACTCGAACTGATGTACGTACGTACGAAGTTCTACGTTGTTACTGACTGACTGACTGACTTCTTTGATATAAATACCCGAGTTCCTCGATTTTTTCGCAATAGTAAATACAGGTATACGTCTTTTGCATTTGGAACGTAGAAAGTACACTACGTATTGACATGCATTAATTACTGATTAATTATTAAATACGTTCTGCAATATTCTGGAAATACTATTAACGTGTTGATGTTTATAACGCTTATGTAACTTGCCGATATTTATTCAATATAAACTTAAAACAAGGGCATTCCGTATGCTACAAATTTTCGATAAGTTATAAAGTGCATTTCAATTATACTACTTCCTGTTAGAAAATTTTCGAAACATTTGGAAGCTCTGTGCAGTTAGGATGTAGGGAACTAAGTAATCATGGCTGTCTAGGTCATTTTTAGGAAGGAAGTAACCACTCAATACAGATTAAATACAATAGAAAGTAGAGACTTAGAATAATATTACTAACTCATGAAGAAAGAAGGGGATATCAGTTATAAGTGGGAAAAAGGTGATGATGATGTAATAAAAGATAGAGCTTTTAAAATACAACAAGTGTACTTCAGTATAAGTCCAACAATAAGAAGTCAAAGCATAACATGTCGCAGTAAGATATAATCTGAACACTCATGGTCACAGCGTATTTCTCAATATGACAAATCTATATCCTCCCCATTAAGGAATGCTTCTAGAATGTCATTTACAACAGGACTGGAGAAGAACAGTAAAGTTGAGCATCCTTGCCGAACCATAATATCATATTGGAACAATAAGGAAAGGTGGTTGTATATCTACAGTCTACTCTAGATATTTTGAACAAAGATTTTAAAGCACTAGTTTACTAGTTCCTATATTTCTATCGGCACCTGTTTGTATTCTTGACGGATAAGATCTGAAAGATGTGGAAACTTTCGCAACCCTCATCAGCATTTTCCGGTCAGTCAGTCACAACGTAGGACCAGGCACATATATGCATCGGTCCAACTCGCCACACCTCATTAGCACAAAATGAACACCAAATTCATAGAAATAGTCACTTCAATGGTAGTAATATATAAAAGAAAGATTGTGTATAAGAATATAAAATTGGAAGAATTAGTTCACAGAAAGAAAGGTATGAAGCAAAGCGTGTATACGCCGACGCCACTGTGATCGATTCCAAGCCATGTTACCCATAGTTTCCAACCATTAGTTGCGATAGTCACTTGGACCTCAAGCAAATAGTCTGCATCTACCAACATGGCTCAGGGTGAAGTGAGTTGTGAACTATCAATTGGAAGTTGTTTTTATATCGTATAACCACCACTTCACTTACAAAGGATATTCGAAGTGAACGAAGTATGTACATTTAAGAGATCACTTATTACAGGTACATAATGGATTTGGCGCTTAAATGCGTATCTATATACCTAATATTATGGAAGTTTGTTGTTCATATTTGAAAGGATTTACGCTCGAAACTACATGCGAGCCAATAATTGTTGTTAATCAATGTAAGTGGAAATCAAATACTTTTATCAGTCTTTATGAAAATGCGCATCAAATGAACTTGCAAATTCTTTGCAGCATATATATCTGGTGCCCCTCGCACCAATATTTATGTGTTCAAATAAATAAATAACTCATTTCACTTTACTATGATGTAGCGACTGTAAGAACCGTAAAATTGATTTAAACTTCTGCTTATTTCTATTCAACCATTAATAGATTGTTGTATAGTAGATCATTTTAAGATTATTAACAGACAATATATTTGTATATGAAGACAATTATGTCCATAGTAAGAATCTCACGATTTATTGCAGCACAAAAGCTGTATACACCGACGCCATTTTGATCGATTCTGAGCCATGTCACCCAGAGTCTGCAACCATTGGTTACGTTAGTCACGCGCACTCCAACCAAGTAGTCTGAATCTATCAACGTGGCTCAGACCAGAAGTTAGTGACTTCAATGACTAGTGACACGTTTCGGTTTGGCGGCTCCTAACTTTCTCCCAGCCGTCTCCATCATTGCATGTCGTGGTGTTTGGTAGTTCGGTATGACTAATACGTGGGTCGACTACCTCAGTCGTTGAAGATTCACAACCTCATCAACTGATTTACCATCATTCCCTAATACACTACCTCCAACGTCACTATTAATTTTAGCCTGTGATTCCATCTGATGAGAGCAATATTTCTAAGACAAAATACTAGCAACTTACAACTATCCTCTACCCTTAATTATCACGTTTCACAGCCGTAAAGTAGCATAGAACAAACTGCCGCACAATATACTCGTCCCTTAATTGATGGACAATTATCTCGCTTTCGCTATAAGTTGTCAAAAGCCAAAAGTGTTCGAGTAAAGAGCCTTGAAAAGGTGTATATACTTCTGAGGTACACATTTCAATGACAGACACTGCTACAGAAATTCTAAGTTGACAAGTAGACCTCAGTTGCTGAAAATTCAATCGACGGGAACGTTATTTCCAGCAGTAGGTTTATGATAAAATTAAACAGAAATGAAGATAGTGAACAACCTTGCTGGACATCACTTGTGTGTGCAAAATAGGATTACAATTTGCCATAAACAGGTAAGACTGTTGTCATTTTCCGAAACTGTCTCACACCTGAATTATTAATTCCAATTTCTTTTATCAGTCTGAAAAGCTGTCTTGTGTTACCTACAGCCGCTACCCTTTCCATTTATTTTCCTTCCGTTGCCAACCGCTACTCACGGTCGTTCCTTAGACTTTTGGTTAACCTATATCTAACTTGTTTTCGCTCTTCATCGTGTTCAATGCCTGATAGGATAAGTTTACGCGAATCTCTCAGTGGAATGGACGTAGTAGAAACCCACTGGTTTTTCGTAACTCATCGGTTCAGATCACTCATAAATTGCGCTGTTGTTTGCACAGCTGCTTGTATATCTTTCAAAGCAACATCTGGGTCAGCCTTGTTTTCGAAAATGCCAAAGTGTGACTTTCGTCTGTTCCTACAATTAACTTTTACCCTTCTCATCGCTGAAATCAATAATAGTGGGTCTTCTTAATGTGGCCTTTCTGTGTTCAGTTAGGCGCAAGCATGTGCTCGTATTAGAGCATGATCAGAGTCTAAACATGTACTCCAGAGCGAACGGCGCTCTTCTGTCGAGCCTGTCCAACGAAGACCGATGGCTATATGGTCTATTTGAGTCTACCACTGGTTTAACGCAGAGGGTCGCCATGTCAGACGATGTCTATTCTTATGCTTAGAATTAGTGCTTTTTACCAATAAACGATTGTCTGAGCGCAGTTGCATGAGACGGTCACTACTGTCCGTAATACGAAAATACCCACCTAGATGTCTTTCTTTTTGGTTTAATCTACCTACCTGGACATTGAACTCACCTGCTACGAGTAATACTACTAGGCCGAAGAACACGCTGCGTCGAGAATTGGAAGCAGATATAAAAAGGATGAATAGCAGCCAGAAAGAAGAGATCAGGACAGAGTTGGTTGGGGAATGTGGATGGCCTATACTCGTCCATGAGGAGTATCAAGCATAAGTAAGTGTTTGTATTCTAGTCGGTAGTAAGTTTTCCACTGGCGAACTGCATCTTCCACCAAATATGATACAAGCACTTCATGGGGAAAATGTCATTGAGGAAAACGGGCTCATTCCCAGATGGTCAGTTTACTTGGTAATCACTTTGAAATATGTTCAAATTTACAATGTAGATGTAGTTGTAGCTTCTACATTTTGTGTCTGTTATCGAATAGATTACTTCTGAACAACTAAATTCCTTCACTAAATTCTTATGTTTTAGGATTTTTCTATGATTTTCTTCAGTCTGTTGACCAAATTACTCGCTCTCTATCATTTGTTCTTACTGGTGGGATTATTTTCGGCTCATTTTACTGGTCTGCTGTAACGTACGGAGCTGTAACAGTAATGCAAGTTTATGGACATCGTCAAGGTTTACAAGCTATGCGGCTCACAGATCCTCCTCTTCTACTGCTAGGTCTCCCGACTATTCCTTTGTGTCTTGTTTTGGCGAAAGCAGTTCAATGGGAAAGTAGACTGCTTATGTTATGGAGGAACCATATAAGTCGTTTACCCTTTATTCAGCTGTTCAGACGCAAAGGTAGGTATTATCTGAATAATTTATACCTCACTACAATTTTTAGAAACTTAGTTCAGTATACACCTGTTTTTAATCAATACAAAAAATTAATTCTAAGTAGCTTATCAGCGTATACATTTTCGGAATTTATATATTCAAAATGGTGAATAACTTTGTATTTGGATTACAGTGGCTTTCATATAGTATCTAATGTGTGGTAGTGAAAGAAAAGTATGAGTGGTCGCTAAGCGTGGACAAAGAACCACAGCCTACGAAATATTAAATATGTGACCGTTGATTTCTACTCTGGATTCACTGTGTTGTGACTGCTTGTAATTATATTTTTGTAAAGTATTCTCTAGTGTTAATCTCGTTCTCTATTTTGGGCCGTGAGTCATGGTTCTGATATAACGTGATTAGCCTTATTAACATATTATCGTAATATACGTGTACCGGAGTAAAATATTGTAAACCGTCCGTTATATCAGTATCGCTGACAGACGTACCATGTATTCATTATACAGGTCTTATTTTAATGTTTGGATTTGTAGGACATTTTTCAGCCATATATTGTAGTTTAACCTTAAGACAGAAGCATTGTACTAATGTGAAATCGGTTTTATTTAGCTTGATAAATATTCTTCTATTGCAGTATTTTACCACAGCTTGACATCGGACGCCTTCAACGGTTTGCCGTAATTCATTTTCCTTCGGAATAGTGTAAACGAGTCCAACAGCGAAAAACGTTGGTTATCGAATTTTCTATTGTGTTATTTCACTAGTTAATCTCTACCTTTGACACAAGGTTCTTTGTTTGTTTCTATATCTTAGGAAGTAATCTAGAAAAAATAGCCATCTCTAATTCCAGGTCTTAACTAATAACTTCAAATCAATCGTTACATTCAGTAGACTAACGAAATTCATTACTGAACTAAACTAAATAAAGATTTATTTAACATGTTTATTAACGAAACTGTTAGAGCAGTGCTTGTGATTAGGCTAAATTACATGGATGTAATTTTCACTAATTAACGAAAATCCTTTAAACCTAACAAATCAGACCACTTTGGTGGTGATGGGGACAGAAAGTAAATAAGTGATGGCATCAGTTTAGCCAATTTATAGTAGTCCTGCACATAGCAGCCGAGTATTTACGTTCAAATATAGAATAATGTTTTGAACTTCACTTGCTTGACGGTCGTTCCTACCATCTGCGTGTTCAGTCTAACGCAACTAGACCGGAGTTCGCTCCTGTACGAAAGTAGTTTCTTACAGATTCAATTTTAAACTATTCTCTAGACTGTTGAATGCACAGTCTTAGCTCAGATAAAGTCAGAACAAGTAAGTTATTTGGTTTGATAAACTGTATCTGCTTCTAAAACGCAAATTAACAGTATACAAAATAAATAATAAATACAGTCTGTTAAATAGGGAAAAGACAAACAACATACTGTACAGTAACTAGAGGATAGGAAAAATGCGTCAACAAACCGAATATTTTGAAGCAAAGATGGATAGTGGCTAGCAGTGAAATCCAGGACGCGTGTTCCGTCCCATTTGGGACTTGTCAGCTGGATGTATCTGTACAGAAAAGTCTTACGAATAAGTATCACTAAAATGTGGTGAAGGTACATGATACAGGATGAAACTTTTAGCTTTAACATTCCTGTCGTCTTAGTATAGTCTAGTGAAGTGTAATAAATTGTTTAGAAAGTGTTTTTATGTTGAATCTCGGTTAGTATACTGTGTTATTTTCTCTTTTACTGCAAAGATCTCCCCACCTGGCCTGTTAATGATGTTGATATAGAACTACGCCCAGAACTCTCTGATATACCTCGTTTATTTTGTAGTGCATTAGCTCTTCCAACAATATCTACCGTTCTGGGACACTTATTATTTAAACGAGTGCAGTCTGCTACACACAGAGTTCTCCTGGTAAGATAATTTCTCTCCACGTGTTTTATTAGATTGGTTGATATATATATATATATATATATATATATATATATATATATATATATATATATATATATATATATATATATATATATATATAGTGACGATTGTAGCGATTTTTTAAACTGCGATGTGATTAAAAAGACCCAGACAGTTTGTGTTCTGTTATTTAAAAGAAGAGATTTCCAAGTCAAATTATAATAAAGTCAGTATTCTGCTATGGAGTGGAAAACAGGCTATTCGAAATTCATTTGATCAACTGCTGTACTTTTCAGCATCGTATTGTATAGTACGTTTCTGAACGTAGTACAAGTTTGTACTTTCACTTAGATTCAGATGCCAATCGTTTGAAATAATAAGTTTGTGCATCTTGGTTGTTGTGTCAATTAAACAATGCAATATTAATTCTAGATGGTTAATGGTATCCAATATCAGTAGTAATTTAGAAGCTATCCTAACTGTCTCAGTTATCATTCAGAAACTCATTGGTTCATCATGCAGATTCGATTAATCAATCTAATTGATTTATTTTTTAATTTTATTTACTAGGGTGGTTTGACGTATCTTGGAGTGAAAGGGCTACTGACTATATATTATCAAGAGTTGCAATATATCCGTATATGCTATAGACAAGTAAAAGATTATGATGAATAATTAATATTGAGATTTCACAGCGATATTAGAATCATTATATTTATGTATTAATTGTACAGAACAAATATATAAGCGTGATAGTTTTGAGGTTGATTTTTCACTTTATAAAAATTTAATGGTAAGCTGAATATACGTTTCTATCCTATGATTCCTTTTATTCTATATTTGAGGACGATATCTAAGTTTATTATCTAACAATTATAGTGGATATTCGCTGGTCAGCTCTCCTATTATTTCATTGGACGTCGCAGAAGACCTAATACATCCAGTGCTGTTAAAAATTCAAACTTTAAGCCTCTTTTTTAGTGATGATCAAACAGTCATTTAGTAACAACGTAGAACTTCGTACGTACGTACATCAGTTCGAGTTGCCACACCACATTAGCACAGAGATGCAGTTGTCGATTCAAATCCCGTAGTGGTAGAGGTAGTAAGAGTATAAGCAGTAATCGAGAAGATTAGGGTTTGGAGATGTTATTTATAGAGTATAATACTGTGAAATAAATTTGGGAAGAGAAAGAAAGAGACAATGAGGAATCAGGAGATTAGAATTTGGGAGAACACAGAGAGTGTATGCATCTGCGCCATTGCAAACGATTTTCAGCCATGTCATTCAGGGTCTCTAACCATCGGTTGCTATCATCTCGCGATCCCCAACCAGGTAGTCTACACCTACCAACATGACTCAGTCCACTTGTCAGTGACTTCATGGATTTGTGCCATGTTTTGGTCTGGCTGCCCCTAGCTTTCTTCCAACTTACTCCTATACCACTGAACATAGCACGTCGAGGCAGTCGGTGGTTGGGCATACGTAACACGTGTCCCAGCCATCTCAACTGATGAAGTTTCACTACTTCATCAATGGATTTGCCATCTTTACCTAGTACCCGATCCCTAACAACTGTGTTACTTACTCGATGGTCCCACGATATACGAGCAATGTTTCGAAGACACCTATGATCGAATACTAGTAACCTACGAATATCTTCTACTCTTACCGGCCATGTTTCACTGCCATAAAGAAGGACGGGACGAACTGCTGCACAGTAAACACGTCCTTTGGTTGATAGACGGATGTCTCGCCTACGCCATAAATGACGCAAGTTAGCAAAAGCTAGTCGAGCCTTCTGTATCCGTGCTGAGACTTCGTCACACACCAGACCACAAGGGCTGATGAGACTTCCAAGATAAGTGAAGCGGTCGACACACTCAACTACTTCACTCCCTATCATTAGTTTGGGTGTCGATGCAACCCAATCCTAAAGCAACATTTTACATTTCGAGGGCGAGAATCGCATCCCGAACATGCCTGCATTGTTGCTTAGAGTGGTCAGAAGACTCTGCATTTTGTCGGCGTCTTCACCACATAGAACTGTCATCGGCATATTCTAAGTCAACAACCGAACCTCCCGGTAGAAGTTCAACCCCTGGAAATTTAGATGAGGAAAGTGTTATCTCTAAAAGTACGTCAATGACAAAGTTAAACAAGAATGGAGAGAGTGGGCAGCCCTGACGAACACCACTTGAGGTAATCAATTCTGATGACAGTTCGCCATAAGCTTTCACTCGACCAGTTGTGTTCAAGTAGAAAGCCTTTACAAGGTTGATGTATTTCTCTGGTACTCCTTTCAGTGACAAACACTGCCATAGAACCTCACGATCAACAGAGTCGAATGCCGCCTTAAGGTCGAGAAGTACTACGATTGTGGGGCGTCTGAACGTGTGTCTGTGTTCTAGAACCTGACGTAGTGTGAATATCTGATCTATACAACCACGTCCAGGTCGAAAACCGGCCTGGTTTGCTCTAGTCTGCTTTGGTTAAGCGTCGAAGTATTATTAAAGTTAATATCTGATAGATGTGGTGACAATTGATTCGTGAAAATTCCCTTGGTTTTTACTTAATTTCAAGAAATATTCACTTGTATGGTCATTTCTGGCTGAGAGTTGTTAGTGTTCATTATATTCAGTGTTAGTAACTTAACTTTGCTGGAAACAGGTGAATTACTTCACCTTTAGTATTGTTTCAATCAATAAAATGTTAGATTCAGACATACTTCGAAAGTGTAACCAATCTAATATTTGGGGATGTCTTTAAAAAGTTTGACGTGATAAATTTTAACACAACACATAACAATTGATATTCGTAGCTTACTGTTTTAGAATTGCATTCTACGAGACTCAAATGGCACCCTAAACATGTGTAGTATTAAGCTAGAGTATGCAAAAAACTAAATTATTTAAATTAATCCGCTTGAAACGAACAGTTGCATTCCTAATTTTACCAATAAATTAGTTCAGATTCGATTTTCCTTACAAGGGTTCGGTGCTGATATATGAGTGGAAACTGTTCAAAATACGTAACACCACACATTTATAAAGTAGATCTGATACCAGATGTTTTAAAAACAAGCTTCTCGTCTTCTGTCGCATTTGATAAACCTGACTTTTTCGTAACCAAACTGGTTTCATTCTAGAACCTAACCAAATTAGAACAAACTGCTCTTTTAGGTCACTTTTTCCATTTTTACTAATTTACAACTACCTCGGTGGGAATTTAACAAGTGTTTCTTTCCAGCTTTTTCCTAAATTGTTTTTTAAAATATGTGTGCAAAGTGAATTAGTGTCCTTAGATGCAAGCCCACCTATTTGTGTTGAATGTTTTTTAACCTGATGTGTGCTGAAGAAAGGCATAATTAATTTTCCGTGAGTTAGTCACAAAATATACACCTTTGAATTCTCATAGGACAGTTAATCAGGATTACCTTTTACCCATTGAGTCCACATGGTTTTTATAACTTCATCTGCATGCCTTATTATTGTCCACGCATATAAGGAAAAAATGAGGAAGTATGCGTTATTTATTTTGTTTTCTTTTGTAATGAGATTGTATCCGACGTCTATGTGGTTTTGATTGCAAGCTTTTACGACTCATAAGTTTTTTATATATGTACTCCATCGTACAAAAATTAACTAGAAACGCATTAGTCAGTTTTGTATCAAGAACATCTTTAATGTGTATGCATTGAGAGTGATACATTATGACTTGGTTGAATCACATGAGTCATAGACATCTTGTGATCGCTAATTTTTTGTGCTAATTGGAATTTATGTGACATATCAAGTGTGTGAAGACCCGAAATTTATAGCAATAGGCTTAGTTTACTCGTTATCATTACGTTTATCTCTTTTATCTAGTGTGAACTGATTATTGTTGCCGATGCATAGATTTATGTTCCGTTTTTATCTATTAATGTTGAATTCTAGCATTAATTTCACACTATTATAGAAATGGCAAAATATTGCTATTTTTGTTAAAGTTAAACAAGCTTACACTGTAATACACTCAATAATGGAAGGTGAAAAGTATTCTTACCATTCAAAGTTAGAGAACAAAATTTCTTGTTTCGTAAGGAAATCTATTGTAATTACTTCAACTGAATATTCAGTTATATATATAATTATCATTCATAAAATTACTAGAGGGGTCTTGTAAAATGAACGTTTGAAAAAAGTAATTTGATTAAAAAGTTAGCTGGATTCACTAATATACACTTTACTTCTATACATCCTCTTTTAATAGTAACTGTATTTGTGTGCTCAGTTGTTCAGTCTCGTATCATACGTTTTTTTGTTTACGTTGATCTATAATGTGTTTTATATAATATTCACCTGCTCGATATGATGATCGAACTAATGGTCCACTAGCCGTATATAAAAAACCCAAATCTTTGCCAATTTTCGCCCAATAATCAAATTTATCTGGATGAATATATTCTTTAACCTTGAAATAAAAATAATTTAAGAAACAAGTCCAACTGTATTATTTATTATTACTATATAAAAATAACAGAAACGCGTAAAAAGTTTTACATTACAAAGACTGTTACTACAAGTTATCATCTAAATTATTGAACAATCTGGAAAGAAGTTGTTATCTGAAGGAATTATGAACTAGCCGATTATAGATTGATAGTCAACAGAATTGAACATGGAGAATCTAATTACCAAAGATTTATTTCGTTTCAGAAATCTTTTAAACGTTAAAGTATGATTTATGTAAAATGTAATTTTATAAGTTATTCGGAAAATACGCAATGTCTGTCAGGCACATTTGTTTGTGTTGAATAGTTGTTGGACTATGTGAACTTCGGAAAGATCGGAACCACCACACTGGACCATTGAAATGTCGTGTTGCAGATTAACTAAATGTTGATATTCATTTGCAATATCCGAAAGGGTGAGTTTGGGATCTTGGTCCAATCGGCGCGGTAACCGTGTTCTAATGTCAGTGAACGTTTTTGATTGGAGACTACAGATGAGGATGAGGGCTTTGGACTGATCTTCAGTCAGTGACTTCAGCCGGAAGTGTTCGCGATTGATGATGCCCTCAGCGTCTTTGTTCATAACGAGCTTCAAACATCGATAACGTGTGTTGAACAATGAGGAGTTATGGCTCACTGAAGACGGTGTCCGAGAATAAGCGGTCACGTGGGTTCGGAGGCGATAGCGAATTACAGTACTTATCGAACTCATTTGTGCCCGGCTTCCAAAGCAGCAACCGAACCTTCCAAGTCCCATCTTGATTAGCAAAATCAAATTTAAGTAATTCCTCCTAGCGCTGTAACCACATATGGAAATTAACATTGGCATCTGTATTGCGATGCCATCAACTGACGGTGCAGTAGTAGAATTGGATGAGCTCGGTTGTGCGGCAGAAGCAGTTTTTCGTTTCTGCTAACATTTGGATCAGTTGCTGTTTCAAGAACAATTCCACTTTTAAAAGATTTATGCTTGCACCATCCTCGTCGCCAAATTGCTATGTTTGAAGAGATTACGACATCACCCTAAATCGGCGAACGGAACGAAGGATCAGTGACACAACAACAAGACAGCTAAACTATTCCAGTGCGTCACAGTCGCACCAACTAGAGGGAGAAGTCCATATTCAGATAAGGGAAAGTGTATTCCACAAGCAGCCAGAAGCACGGACAATAACAAGCACACAACTTAAGTGTATATATACAGCACAAAAATGTCCTTGGAAAACGTCACAAAATAGTATATTAAAAGAGGCAATCAATCAATGATATTTATAATCCTTTCAAGTGGGAAATACAATCTGAAGGTAAAAATGGGTGCTTTTGG